GTTCTAACCTGACAAGCCAGACGGATGCTATATGGGAACTGCTTCGGAACTACATGTTTCAGTGCCTTTTCTGCCAGAGCACCGTGTCCCAGTTCCCTCCGATTAGCACCTCGAGAAGACTAGAATAAGCAGAATAAAAGCGGAAAAATCATCTTCATTTCAACTCACTGAGATCTCATTTGTAGCATAGCTGGGGAATTCATAATGCAGCATGAACATCTTTTTCCGTTGACTACCTAGTAACTGTGATATAGAATCTGAATGAAAAGCTGCAGCCGGACTGTCAAATGTGACGGTAGACATTACCTAAATCAGAGCATATTCATTTGACGAATCGAGTATTAAACTGACTCACTTGAGTCTGTCCTCTTTGAAACAAAGAAGAACCGTGCAGACGTTTGAAAACATCAACGCTTATAGTTATCGGCCGGAAGTCAGTTAACCCACGTCCATCACATCGCATATTGTTGTCTAATATAAGATCTCTGCAAAGAAACATCATCGAAAGACTTAGCAGCGAGTAAAGAGACAGTTTTTATAAGATATAACTGACCGCAAGGCTTTCTTTGTAAGAAAGCGATATATTGACTGGATCAAGGTGGGGTCACCGTCTGGTATAGAACTTACCACATCCTTACCTACTTCCTAAACAATCTTTTTAAAATAAAATAAAAGCAGGAGAGTCGCACCTTTATAGCTTCATCACGTGAGATCTTGTCATGTGTTGGATCGGTAAGGATATAGTATAATCGCTCCTCACAAAGAGCACGCACTTCATCAAGCAAATCTTCGGGAAATTGCGACTGTGTGAACTATAAGGAAATAGAAGAATGAGAAAGTTTGAGATGTACGAGCAAGTCTTACCGAAGCTTTTTCTTTTCCAGTCTGAGCTCGTAACTCATTCATAGCTTCCAAAAGCTTATTTGTCGCATCCAAACCCTGATCGATAGCCTCTTCTACCCTATCTACTGGCACTTGCTAAATAGTCAAAAGGTGAGCAGATGTTTGAGATGACAAAGGTGTAGCTTACGTCTCCATCCATTTCGATCATGACAGTCCTTCGATCCCCACATCCTGTCAGAAGCAGATCAAGGCTAGACTCTTTCATCACTGATCGTGTAGGATTCAGCACTATCTAAACGCAAGTACACCACTATTTTCTAATAATTTTGTACCAGTGGTAGGAGATCCGCTCGGCAGAATGATACCTTTGGGATATTCATCGTTCTCGGGTCCCCTGGATGCGCTAAGTCCAAACTGTGCTTTGGCTTGAAAAGATAACAATAACCCGCTTTTCCAGACGTAGAAAGTGCTATTTGGGCGGACCGCGTATGCCTGCCTACTAGAACGCGATTGGCTTATGGGTAGGTATCTCCGCTCACGAGCCAATCGCGCTTCAAAGGGCAGGCATACGGGTTCGCCCAAATAGCATTTTCTACGTCTGGAAAAGCGGGTTTTTGATGTTTTTTGAAGCTGCAAAGCACAGTCTTGAACTTAGCTCATTCAGGGAAACCTAGGACGGTTACTATCCTCAAGTTGTCACTCTGCCGAGCCGCTACCTTTAACTAACCTTGTCCCCAACGAGTGCGATACGAACAGCAGCTGCAGGGCCCAGCCAAGGGACAGCAGAGACATGAAGAGCTGAAGCAGCAGCATTCAGACCAAGCAACACGACATCTCCCTCGTCATCTATAGCCAAAGGCTTTACAACAATCTAGAGGAAAAACTAAGTTGTATGACTGATAACCAACTGATTTCAGACAGTACCTGAGTTTCACTATTCCAGCCCTGAGGAAAGAGTGGTCGGAGCGATCGGTCAATAACTCGTGATGCAAGGATATCGGCATCCGTCTGACCAAGCTCACGTCGCAGATAGTTCGTCGGTATCTT